ATATATGGGTAATATTTATTTATTTCTATTTATTTATAGAAATAAATATATATCTATAGATATATCTACTGTATTTGCTGGCATATAAGACTACTTTTATACTTAAAAATATCCCCCGGGGGTCGTCTTATACGCGGGTATACAATGTATACCTTTAGTTCGAACATCCCTAATCTGTCAGCCCGCTGGATGTGCGGTAATACTGTATGTACAGTAGCTTCGGCTACATACAGTATACCGAGCTGAGCCAATCACAGTGAGCGATGTACACAACCTCTGCCAATCCAAGCAGGCTTTGTATTCATTAATAGAATACATTGCTCGCCGTGATTGGCTCAGCGCGGTATACTGTATGTAGCAGGAGCTACCGTACATACAGTATTACCGCACATCCATCCATGATGTTTTTAAATGGTGTTGCCTCGGAAGTGGGGTAGTCTTATATGACGAGTAAAGCCCAAAACCTATGTTTTAAGTGGGAAATTAGCGGGTCGTCTTATACACACAGTCGCCTTATACGCCAGCAAATACGGTATATCTATAGATATATATATAAATCTATCCCTTTAATCCTGACTCTTAACTATCTCAAGCTCCAATACATTCTTCTTGTAAACAGCGGCCCAGAATACTGTGATGCTCGAGTGAAATAACCCTTCAGAATTTCAGATTCTGTATGAAAACGTAATTTAAAAATATGACATTGATTAACACATTGGAGGAATGATCACAAAACACATTTATCAAGCTGCATTCTCATCAACTCCAGCTAAATCTCACAACAGTCTCTGTGATTTAGACCTGTGTTTTCATCTCATCCACCCTACAGGAACTGAAATAGCAGATGTAACAGTTAATCAGATTCTCCGGCTATGAAGATAAATGACAGCCCTGCAGATCTGTCCATATGTCTGTGGCACAGGATTACAGCTAAACTGGGTTCTCGTGTCTAGAAATTATGTGAAAATAAAGAGGATGTTCAAATGTGGAGATATCATTTTGGTTAAAAAAAAGACATACTGTGATTCTTGGTGGCTTACAATATTAAAAAACAAAAAGTATTAAAAATATTTTTTTTAAAGTTAGAAATTATTTTTCATATTAATATTGTATAAATAAATCTCTCTCTCTCACCACACACACACATATATATATATTGTGCGTTAGTAAAAATTTAAATGACAATGTTTCACTTTAAGATCCCATTCCCCCAACATACTGGGATCCATTGTCGTTTCTGAATGCAGAATCAATTAACGAGAATGCCCAAACAGACGGTAGCTCATTGGTGGCTGCTGTCTCTGTTCATATGAAGGTTTATCAAGTGGCTCCTTCGTTTAGCTGATTCAGGGGCGCTGGCCAAAGGGGTGCTGACGGCACATACCAGCCGTAAATCGCATAGTGCTAAACATTGAGAGATTATTTGAAGATCTACAGCAGAATGATATATAAATAATTTTTACGGGGTTCACATCCTGAGTTTAGTGTCGCTTTGATTTCCTGGCTGGTGGACATCCAGCATGATCAAGCACTTCCCTCCCCAAGCTGATTGTCTCTGGCCCGCCCCTTTCATTCATTGAGCTTCAGTTCATTCAATCATGGAGGCTCAGAATGTGTCTATTATTCAAGGCTGTCGGTATGTAAATGCACTGTGCCTAGGAATGCCAACTCCTCTAGAAAGGCATCCCTCTATCAAGGTATTTTGATGTTTGCATAACCCCTCTCAAGAACCAGCTCACTGCTTCCATCACGGCTGATGGCTCTCGAGAAGATACAGAGCCAGGGTGCTGGGAATGATTCAGTAAGCTATGCATAGCAACCTGCTGGACCCTCCCACCAACAATGCATAGAGTAGCACATAAACTCATTTATGACCTCACTGGGTCTAAAATAGGGTGCATATTAAAAATAAAAAAAATGTATTTTAAAGTTTTGTTTCCATGTTGATTGGGAAGGGGTGGGGGAGGAAGGAACCAAGGAATGCAAAAGATGAGAAGAAACTTTAGCTTTAGGATATGCAATCCTAAAGTGCAAGCAATCTGGGAAATGAAAAGAAATGCTGGAGGCTACATAAGCAGAATGTAACCTTATGAGCTATTCTTCTTGCCATTTTGTTTATTAAAGTTTAAAGGGACTCTAAGCGTCGAAGAGGTCATTTTCCCTTTCATGCTGTTTAAAGCCCACCTCCTGACATACTTATATTTATCTTATTTATGCTGCCCGCTGCGTGGTGAGTGGATGATGTCCTCCTCTTTAAGCAACAGTATTTGGCCTGGTGATTGGTCATTTAGGTCTGGGCACTGCATTATGAGAGGAGGTCAGATGTTCCTTAATACCTGCAAGTGCCCGACATTTCACAGAGCCCCCAACAGGTCAACGGAGCAGTGGTGGATTGCTTGGAAGGTCAGTATAAGTGGTAGGGAGGTGGGCTTTAAGGTGACTCTGCCTGTCTGCCAGGAATGATTATCATTTTATTCTGAGCCATCTTCCATGAAGAAAAAAATAAATTTACCATTGAAAGAACTACTAAGATGACCCGTGACTCCCATATCAGATTGGATCCAAACTTTGCATTGAACCAAAGACCAGGCAGATTATACTTAAGTATTTTTCACCTTTAAACCCTTTTAATTTACTGTTGCTGACATCTGTTTTGTAATATCCTGTCTATAAATATTTCCTGAACCATTTGCTTTCCTTTTCATTAAAACAATATTTAAAATAGTTAAGATGAATATCTGAATTGCCTCTGTGAAGAGCTACCATGTGTAATCTCTGTTCCATTCCTGTCTTGGCATGGCAGTAATTGATAATGAAGTTTTTTAAAAGGTCAGACTTGCAAGAGCAGATGCGGTGAATAGTGCATCAAAACATGTGGTGGCAACGTATGTGTGTGCGTGTGTTTAAAGGGTTAACTGCTCGGTTAGCCTGCCCAAATGAAAATCACTCTCTGTAAGATAGTGCTTAGATTGTGGTCCTGCGAGCTTAACAATAACTCTCAGTATGCTGGTGCTTAGATTGTGGTCCTGCAAGCTGAAAAATATCTGCATGGGGTGAGGCTGAGAGTGCATGTCCTGTCTCCAAAACTGTGTACACTACAGAACTGGAATAAACATACTGAATCTTCTGTACACCACTTCATAAATACGGCAAACTATTGAGAAATATGGCACAAGCGGATTAAAATGTACCTTAGATTGCAAGCTCCTTGAGGGCAGGGACTGATGTGAATGTGCAACTCTGTAAAGCGCTGCGTAAATTGTCAGTAATTATTTACAAAATGGTGGACTGCAAAACAAGTGAACTTAGTAATACATACACTGAAAGAAAGTGAGCAATTCCCTATATTGAACAGAAATCCATGTGCTTCCAGGCCAAAGTACTAAGCAGTAACCTATCTGAGCCATTATCTTACATCAGCTGTGAAGAGATGGGCTCATTATTATGGTAGGTACAGCAGTAGGTACCTATAGAGTTCTATGGCAGTAGATACCTATACAGTTCTATGTATATGAGTGAATAAACCTCTAAAAGGTAAGTGGAAAGAGTAATTATTTTCAGAGAAACCTGTTTAAAGAGACCACAGCAACACCTTTCCTAACTATTAAACGGACAAAAACAAATTTAGTCTGTTGTTGGCCTCGAAAGGTGCCTACATCCCTCGGTCAAGAAATGCACTATGTTCGCTGCTGGGCTCCACCATCTTATTTCCAAGGTTAGCCGTCTCAGCAGTCACGAATCTGTCTTGTCAGGTGGGGGCAGTACAATACCTGCTGTATGCATGATCAAGACAGATATAACAAGACTGTGCTAGGAGGGGAGACAGAGAAATGGCATGTGTGGCAAGAGGAGCCAGAATGATCCGACACTCAATTACAGCATCAGTGAATCAAGGGCTGCAGACACTATTTAAAGTAATAATAACTAAAATATGAGCTCACTGAAGATACACTATACATTTCCTTTAACTATATGTACACTTGTGATTTAGGGACTTTCGGGATTTTTCTACTCATACATTTCTTTTTGGATTACAAAGCTTACTCAGCCTTTGCCTCTTATATACCATCAGCAATATTTGTGTGCTTCACAGACACAAGGTTAAAATATTCTGGGATTCCCATAATCCTATCAGATCTGACCTGGTTCTTCCCATCTTGGATTATCTCCAGTACTGCTGTCAGTTGCTCCTCCTCTAGGCACTGCTGACAAGTCACCAGAAACACGTTTATGTCTTCTTCTTTCAGATCATCTTCTGACAGGTTTTGCTGAAAAAGAAATTGAACATCATTTATACATTACATAGGAATGACTTCTCCTTACCACCAATACACTATTAGTGCGCTAACATAAGTCCCTGTTGAAGTGGAGCTTACAATCTGTAGGAGAGTGGACTGGGCTGATGTGAATGGGCACCAGTACATACTTGTCATATTTTGTTTTATTGTAGCCAGAGAAAGAAATATTTGTTATACAATGATACAGTATGTATCTCTATAATTGTCACAGAAGAGGATAGTCTTGTCTGTTTGTATCCAGTTATGTTAAAGATAGTGATATACAGACATTGTCAAAGGCCCTGAGATATGGACGTTACAGAAGATTAAACAAAAACATTATGAAGGGTCCTCATGTATGGGCATTATTAAAGGCCCTGAAATATGTACAGTATAGAAGATCCTGAAATACAGACATTATAGATGACTCCTAAATATGGACATAATGGAAGACTTACAAACATTATGGAAGACCGCGACGATACAAACGTTATGAAAGAACCCGACGATACAAACGTTATGCAAGAGCCCGACGATACAAACGTTATGCAAGAGCCCGACGATACAAACGTTATGCAAGAGCCCGACGATACAAATGTTATGAAAGAGCCCGACGATACAAATGTTATGAAAGAGCCTGATACAAATGTTATGGAAGAGCCTGAGATACAAATGTTATGGAAGACCCTGATATACAGAGGTTATAGAAGGCCCTGATATATGGACATTATGGAGGACCCTCATATGTGGGCAAATATGGAAGACCCCAATCTATGGGCATTATGGAAGACCCCAATCTATGGGCATTATGGAAGACCCCAATCTATGGGCATTATGGAAGACCCCAATCTATGGGCATTATGGAAGACCCCAATCTATGGGCATTATGGAAGACTGTACGGAAGACCCCAATATAAGGACAGTACGGTAGACCCCAATATAAGGGCAGTACGGAAGACCCCAATATAAGGACATTATCAAAATTAACAGTAGAATTAAACGTTTAGGGCTGGTTCATTCCTTAGTAATCCCACCATTGCCTGTTATCCTCTCAGAGAATCAATAAAATCCACAACTTCTTATTTTAATAGGAATAAAGTTGCTGTTACTTACAAATTTCTGAATTAAGACTTGAAGATCAGCTGCCATTGCACCCTGAAGGTATAGATACTGAAAAGGATAATGGAATCTGATGATAAAAACAGAAGGTCAGGTTTAGACTAGCAGCTTATAAAATGAAGCTCTTTATATAGTTATGTACAAATTATTAAAATATAACAAGAACTACAGCTTCCAGACCAAATTTTTTATTTACTTTTTGATAGAGATGAGAAGAATTAGAGTCAAGCTTTATTGCCACCTGTATCCCTTTTGGGGACAAAACTGGTAAAAATGGTCTGCCTGTAAAGACATACTTACCTCTCCTGTTGCCTGCACAGTGAACCCCGCTCCACTGAAGCGTTCACTGGTTCCTCTCACCGACCTCTACATCACTACCGTGTCCATAGAACAGAAAAAGAGAGAAAATCACCCCACTTCATGTCTATTAGACAGGTGTCAGACAGGACAGGAAGTGAAGTAAAATTCAACAAGCGGGGACCTAAAAAAGCATAAACATACATTACTAGTAGAGTGTAGAAGGCCACTTCGTGTCCAGTTGAAAGGGTCAGCCTGATTAGGCAGTATGGTGAAATCTCCTAACCAGGGACACAGACAGCATTTAAAACAAGACAGAAAATCTACTCAATGGGACAGACAGAATTTAAAACCGCTGTAACCCTTCCTCATTCTATCCAAAACTAAAAGAAAAGTTTTGGCTGGAGTGGAGCTTTAAAACTTACCTGTCTCACCGCCAATCTACACTTTCCTAAAGCAGAAGAATCTTCAGCAACTGATACTACCAGGTGTGTCAGATGCCTGGCCCTCGCTGCGGTCAGATCTGCCAGTCTGAGTTGGCAGACTAAATCAAAGTGCATGGCGGGGGACCCAACAATTCCATGTGAAAATCCTACAAATTGGGAGCTACGAGCTGGAAAATTTAGAGAAAGCAACGCTACCCACAAATCCCCCAGATTGTACCCGCTTACCCCATGTTACTCAAATCCTCCGGAGAGTACCCCTGTACCCAAATCCTCCAAACTTTAACCCTGTACCCGATGCAACCAACATCCTCTGAATAGTACCTCTGTACCCAATACTAGCCAAATCCTGAAGATTGTACTCCTATACCCAATGTTACCCAAATCTTCTGCATAATACCCCTGAACCCAATGGTACCAAAATCCTCCAGACTTTACCTCTGTACCCAATGTTACTCAAATCATCCAGAATGTACCATTGTATCCATTAGTACCCAAATCATCCAGATTGTATCTCTGTACCCAATGTTACACAAATCCTCCAGAGTGTACCGCTGTATCAAAAACTACACAACCTCTTAAGAGTGAACACCTGTACCCAATGCTACCCAAATCCTCAGAATAGTACCCCTGTATCCAAATCCTCAGAATAGTACCCCTGTATCCAATGCTACCCAAATATTCCAGCCAGTGCAGCCCTGAACCCAATGCTACTCAAATAATCCAGAGTGTACTTCTGTACCCAATGCTACACATATAAACCAGAGTATACCCCTGTACTCAAATCCTCCAGATTGTACCAAACGTTACCCAAATCCTCCAGATGGTACCCCTGTACCCAATGCCAACCAAATGCTCGAGATTGTTCCCCTGCACCCAAATCCTCTGAATTGTACCCCTTTAACCAATACTACTCAAATCCTCTGAATTGTACCCCTGAGTTCAGTGCGTTGTAAACCCAATCACACACAGACTTTAAAATGTTGATCTTATTTAAAAAGTAATTATTATTAGAATATACAGGAGTTACATAGTGCAAACAGTTCATGCTGTGCAATTCAAGAGGGTTAGTAGGACCTGATTGTAAGCTCTCACAATCTAAACGTAATACTCAATATTCTTAGAACTGCAGCTAACATTAAAATAATATCTGGTGATCCTGCCACAAAGGTCCTTGTTCGAGCAATTCCTATTGTAGGATGATAATGCTTAATTTCCTTCTCCCAGCTGTGCTGTCACCCTGTCACATGGGCTTTTAATGGAGACTACAAGTGGCAATTTACACACACGCTTGTGCAGGCATGGTCCACCGTTGTTGCCATCAGAAAACCCAACCTGAGAAATGCCACGACAGGCATGTAAACAGGAAGTGGTCAAAAAGGTTGCAGGAGATTAGCAGCACAGGCAATTGTTTGTGATATACAGCATAATGTTCTCTGTATGGATCAGAGGAAAATGCATATGGGTGCAGCTATAAGAATAAGAGGCTTAATCCAACATAGTTACCTTTCCTATTGATGGAGATGGCTGTACTCCACACCATGCATGGTGCAAATGTTAGAATAGTCTTTCTCTTTTCAGATGACACAGCTTTGCTTTCCCTTCTTCTCTGCAGGTAAAGAAATGTCAATTATTTACCTGTATAGCAAGCAGGAGGGGACACAAACAACGCTGTCAGAGCACATGCAGCTCTGTGTGTATGAGGCTGGAGCTCTTTGCGTTCCACATCTCCATCTGCTTCCTGTTACACACGCGAGGCTTGGAACGCACAGGGCGTCTTACTGCGCATGTCAGTGCATAGAGGCTTGGAACGCACAAACCAGGAAGTCGGTTAGAAACAGCGGTGTGAGAACTATGGCGGAGAAGATAGGCTCGGGGAAAGCTCGCAAGTCTCATAGTCTCAAGAATAGTCCAGGTGGGACGTCTCGCATAATCTGTAGTCAGTATATGTTATCAGTGGGGAAGGCGGTTTATTAAAAAAGCTCACAACGTATAATTCTCCTGCCTTCTGGTGATGCTTCTGGACATGTTACTGCACAGTACACTATGTTGGCATGATTTAGGGTACCATGGATCATCTTATAGTGTGCAGTACTCTGTATGAAGCTGGCAAGCAACTAAAAGCAACTTTTTTTGTTACATGGCTTTAGATAGAGTGGGGAAGGGTTTTTATTTCTGTCTCACAGGGCTATTCATAAAAGGGTGAAGAGTTTGGAGAAGGCAGGAGAAGTGACCACTCTAGGCCAAAATAGCTGATTTGGAAGAATTCTCCAATACACCTCACTTTCCAGTTCAGCCACTTTAGCCTAGATTCACTTCTGCCATATCCAAACTCTTCACCCTTTTGTGAGTAGCCAACAGTTTGCTCAGCACCTCACAACACAAGGAAGACATTATAGTTACAATACGATTAAAGACACGAGGGTTAGAAGGGCCCTGCCCGCGAAAGCTTACAATCTATATTCCCTCTCTCCGTTTGTCCTGATAAGGGGAAAGTACAAATGTTATCACTGCCACTAGAAGATAAGGTGAGTAGAAATCTTCCGGTAGGGACATTTATGTTCGTTACAGTTGTCAGAGAGGGAATTTCTTCTCACTTCCTGTTGTGTCTCTTGGACAGGAAATAGTATATTAAAGCGCATTCTTACCTTTCTTTTTGAATTTTGTTCTTCCCATCTTTCCTGCCACACCAACATGTCCCTTATGCCTGCTTGTTATTTCTTGTTCCTGTTTGTGCTGGCGGGCACCGCTGTTTTCTTCATAATGAGAAATGGCTCCAGGTCACGTATCCTCTGTGTACAGTAGTGGGGGGGGTGACGTTTTACTATGAGCCAGTACTACTTCATGGTACCCTGCTCACAATCCGCCCACATCCATTTATTGCAATGTGTTGGTGTTTACAAAAAAAGATGTAACATCCCTGAGCTCCGCCCATAAACACCCACCACATTGGATCCCTCCCATGATTTAGCACCTGCACATAATCTCCCCCCGACACCCAACATATGTAGGTTTTTTTTAGCAAGTAGCTGATGATGCGACATGAAGGAAAAGAATACATTAAACAAAATGTAAGACACTTTTCATAATAAAAGTAAATGTGGCGTTATTGTGGAAGGAGATAAGGGTCAAAAGTGACAGGGATCCTGGAGTTCAGCTTTATTAGTTTTGTCTGAGCCTGACTGTTGACTCTCAGAGTAAAGGGATAGAAGTCACAGGGGTCTATTTATATTGGTATTTGAAATACATGTATTAATCTCCAGTGGGAGAAACAAGGAAGTTACATACGGTAGTAGCACCTTCTTAAAAAATCAGTTTCTTTCCCACATGGTTTCAGCTGATTAGCATATATGAATGAGAGCACATTATACAAATAGATCTGCATACCTGAAGATTTATAATTGTATGTCATGCTTTTATGTTTTTTTTTAAACCATTTAGTGATATGATGTTTATGTCCAAAACTGATATTTTATGTAATAAACTCTTTTTGTAATTGGAATACTTGTCCCGATCCTCTGTTAACCCTTTTTAAACCAGCCACTCTTGTTGGCTGGTTTATCTTTTTGGTATATATGGTGCTGCAGTACTAACCTGCTGTGTGGTCTTCTCCGTCTGCCAATGGTCAATCATCTGTCAATCATCCAATCGGCCAATCAGCGGGAGAAGAGGTCAGAATGGAGCAGATGACTGAGGACTTAGAGAAGGAGTTCGCGGCCATCTTGTTTAGTTGAAGACGCTATGGAGGTCCTGCGTGCGGCGGTTTTCGGGACCTTGAAGATGGCGGACGCGGCACAGGTTCTCGTTTTTTGTATCAAAGTATTTGCACGAGTACTCATGCAAATATTCGGTATCGCCGCCGATACCAATGCTTTTATCGGTATCGGAGCATCCCTAATAAATAAATATATATATATAAAAATGACATGGCTGTGTATCTAGTAAAACAGCATGAACATTCTGTGTGAGCTAACCAGCTGTTGTGACAGTGGTGCACAGAATGTGGTTTCCCTTCTAATAACTTGTTCTTCATATATTATGGGGAAAATACTGCAATATGGCCACTAAATGGAGCTGAGCATCATAGGAAATGCATCTTAGTAACAAGAGATACAGTGTAACAATTCTAGAGAATGTTAGAGGGACTTGGCAAGTAAATGTAACAATTGCTACTATAGGGAAGAGATACAATATTACAAGTCTAGAGAATGTTAGAGGGACTTGGCAAATAAATGTAACAATTGCTACTATAGGGAAGAGATACAATATTACAAGTCTAGAGAATGTTAGAGGGACTTGGCAAATAAATGTAACAATTGCTACTATAGGGAAGAGATACAATATTACAATTCTAGAGAATGTTGGAGGGACTTGGCAAATAAATGTAACAATTGCTACTATAGCGAAGAGATACAATGTAACAATTCTAGAGAACTGTTGGCAAATGCAGATAGTAGAAAAATAGACGAAAATGTGGTGCATCCCTAGCTTCTCTCCTCCCTGCTGGGCGCGGGCTGCAAGCTTCGGCACTGGACTTCTTGGCATGGTAAGTATGGGCTTTTTTTTTTTCAAAACCAGGTGAAGTTCCTCTTTAAGAACATTCGATTTTGCCCCATTCACAACAGCTGGTTAGTTTGCACAAAACGAATGTACACGAACATACGAGCTGGATAAGGAGCTATGCAGATTTAGACTCCTAAGTATTGTTGCCCAGTAAGTTAATTAATTGTAATAAGGGGACAAACCAAAATCTTTCATAGGTAAACCTGCACATCTTTATAATTAATAGCTGAAAAATTCAATTCATCCAGTCCAGTCTTGACTTGGATACACTTATTGGTATCATAATCTTTTTCTGATAATTATAATTTTGTGTTTCTTAGGTAATGTGCACATCAGTGATTTGACAAGTGAGGATGCAGCAAAGAGGTAAAGTATAGTTCAGTTTTTTTTATTTAGTATAAAAGAAGCAGAAGTTACACACCTTGACCACAGGCAGTACATCGAACTATACAAGACTGCATATACAATAGTTCTCCTACCAACATTATTATACATGATTTATATAGAGCCAACAGTGTGCGTAGTGCTTTACAAAACTGAGGGAGACAATACAATAAACAATACAATTTCAGTACAGGAGGTAGAAGGGTCCTGCTCGTTAGGGCTTACAATCTAGTAGGAGGGGCAAGTAATACAAAAGGTAGTAACTGTTTGGGATGATTTAATGGAAGAACGGAGTACTGTTAGGCCCCATTCACACTGAGCGATTTTTGCGGCGATATCGCTCATATTTCCACGCGATATCGCTCTATGTAGCTTCTCCAATCCATTTCAATGGAGCTGTTCACATCTCGTCGCTCAATATCGCTTGTAGCTCCTACATGACCCTTTTTTCGAGCGATTTCGCTCCTGATTGCATACAGCCTAATAGGAAAAAGTCGCGCGACAAGTAGCTCAATATCGCTCATAAAAAATCGCGCGGAAAATTGCGCGATTTTCATGTCGCTCAGTGTGAATGGGGCCTTAAATTGAGGTGTAGTAGGTCTCCCTGAAGAGATGAGTTTTCAAGGATCGCCTTGAAAACTCATCTCAGAGTAGGACCAACATGCACTTTCACATGATCTCTGGATAAACTGGGAATTCTCTTGCTTGTGGTTATGGCAAGTGGCTAGTTTATGTCACCAGTACATCCAGTGAGAATGTTTTGGGAGGGGGTCTTGATTTGTGTATACAATGAATTTAGAATATATTTAGTACAATACCTTGTATGTTGTTTACCTCTTCAGAAGAGCCGCTCTGGAACGCACTGTTAGACATAAGATTGAAACGGAGAAAAGGGCTCACCAGATTGTTGAACGCTTGTTAGAAAACAACATTACAACTGATTTCCTACTAGACTGTGTAAGTTCTTTAAGTTTTTTTGTGTAGTTATATATTTTATTTGTGTAAGTTATGCGACTAGAGCCAGCCTGCTCCTGTTTGTGTTTTTTGTTTATTTATTTAAAACTTTTGTCTTTGAACTCTGAAAGTGACCATGTCAGCGCGGCCAGTTCCAGTAGTACACTGGTCACTGTGGGTCACTCATTTGTATCTCATAATCCATTCAGAAAAGGCCTTGCATTCTTTTCACAGAATGAAAGGCGTTTTGTGATTGGAGGAGGTGCAGATGAACATCACAATCCCCCCTCCTCCAATCACAGAATGTAAAGCGTTCTGTGATTGAGGAGGGGAGATTGTGCCGCTATTCATTCACACCTCCTCCAATCACAAAATGACTTGCAATCTATGAAAATAATACAAGGTCTTTTCTAATGGAGGATGGGGTACAATGAGTGACCCACTGTGATCAGTGTACTCAAGCCAGAACTCGAAATCTCAGCCCTGGACATTCAGGAGAGTGTGGGCTGAATGAAAGTAAATGATTTTAGGAATGCTGCAGGAGCCAGAGATTGGGCACACTGCATCAGTGGTAATATATTTTGACTGCGCAAATGTACATAAATAGTTTTTGGCTGGAGTTCAGCATTCATTTTACAGTGGCCGGTGTCTGGACATGCCAATGCTTTACTGCTCCCCAGCCACTGCAAGTATTCACCTTCTTGATGGGTCAAAATCCTAGTGACAGCTGTCTATAGCTTGTTACACACGGAGCAAATTTTGGCCGATTCAGCAGGAATCATTATATTTTGCCAAAGGAATATGTTAGAAAATCTTTGGCTGAATGGAGCTTTCAGCCAATAAGCTGCAATCTCAGGTCAGGTATTCAGACATTGCAGTTTCATTACCAGGTAAAGCAAACACATGCATTAGAGTTATGTTACTTCAAGTTCAATGTAGACTTCTAGGAGAGGCAGTGTGCTGCTTATAGGAGCAAGGAAGAAGGACACTGGGCAGTGCTAATGCAATAGTGGGCATTCATCTGCACATTTAGATTAAAAGAGCATTTTAGTATGTTTATCTTTTTATGTACATTTCATGTACCCGTGCATTCTCTTTAAAATGACAGTGAAAGTATAAAGCAAGAAAATCTATCATTCTGTAGAGATCTAGTCATGAATATCCTCTGAGCTCGCTAATCTGCCCATCGACAGATGAATTCTGTTCCTTTTAAGTTACACCAATTAAGATAGCAATTATTGTTGTGTGCAGCGTGCCTGAGTCTTGGGAAATGTTTATTTTGTGAAAAGTTGTTTTACTTTGTAGTTCTAATTAAAAAAGGAATCCATATATGAGAGGAAAGAAAGATAGATATGTGGGTTTTATACATACAGAAAAGCTGATGTAAACACAAGGTTGTCCTCATCTTCCTTTGCAGGCCAAGTTTATTTCTCCATCCCACTACAAGGACACAGTTGAAGAAAGATCAATTATAAAGCAATGTGGATACCCTATATGTAATAAAAAGCTTGAAAATGTAAGCATCCCATTTTACTGCCTATTAAAAAAAAAAGACATTTCTCTGTTTGCATTGGATATAAACTATTATTAAAAGTATTATATAATACTAAAATGTTCAAAAATTAGATTCCAGATCAAATAGTGAAACACCTGTAATGAGAGAAACATGAGACCTGCCACTGCCGACCTCTTTGAAATGCAAGTTGCCTGGCTTCAGCACAAGAGCTTAGTGGTTAGCACTTAGCCTTGCAGCAATGGGGTCCTCAGTTTGAATCCTGACCAAGACACTGTCTGCATGCAGTTTGCATAATCTTCCTGTGCTTGGGAGGGTTTCCATTGGGTACTCTGGTTTTCCCCCACACTCCAGAGACATGCTGGTACTATGTCCTTCTGTCTAAATTGTCCCTAGTACTCTATGTGTGTTTGTGCATGTGAGGTAGGGATTTAATATTGTAAGCTCCTTGCGGGCGGGGATTGATATGAATGTGTGGTTTGTAAAGCGCTGTATAAATTGTCGGCACTATATAAACACCTATAATAAATAAATAAAATGTGTGACGCAATAACCTGGAACAAACATGCAGCAAATGAAACATAAGTGCAAGTTCCTTATGTGGGCTCAGTGACTAAGCAGAGCACTAAAATGACACCCAGGCAACTATCATTTCATTTGTAGAGGTCTGCCGAGGGGTCATCTTCTTTTTTTCAATGAAAGGCTTCTTTAAAGCAGGACTCTGGGCATAATTGTTCTTAATCCTACCAGTGGGGCTGCCCACAAACTGCAAGGGTTAAGAACTGGTTTTTGGCTAGGTTAAAAAAAATATACTCATCTGATCCTTGGAGCCGGCTCCCTTCCGCCTCGCTCCCCCTCCGATGCAATGGTTTAAGGCTCCTTAACAGTACGGGGATAGCCACAAAAATTATGCCGGAGTTCTGCTTTAAGTAATTATTGCAGGGAACCTAACGGATTATCAACTAGAAGTGCACCTAGATGAAATTTTCAAAACCGTATATTAAAAAAGTCAGGCCGAAACTTTTTTTTTTTTTTAACCTTTTGACATTTTTTAAAAATATTTTATTTTTATTTACTTTTTATTAAATATAAACAGACCCCCCCTGACATTTCCCTTTTAAAATAGAAAAAGAGATTGAGGACACAGGGTCCATAATCTCTTTTTCTGCAGCCCCTGTTATCAATGAACCAGAATCCTCTATACTGAGTGTTCCTGTTCATTCATAACTTGTGGAGATAGTATGTTTACCATGTCCACAATCATGAACAGGAATTGATGTGGATGACACCGTAAACATACTATCTCCACAGTGTTTGTAGTCGCTCTCCATCTTGACAGCTGTCACAGGAGGCTCGATCTTCTCTGACAGCTGACTCCTGCCCTGCACCGCCGGCCTGGCCTCCTGTGACAGCTAACAGATCTCTCCGCCCCCACACCGCTCTCCTGAAGTGTCACAGGAGGCTGGGCGGGACAGTGCGTGAGGAGAGCTCAGCCTCCTGTGACTGCGCTCACAGCTGTCACCGCCCACACACCGCTGTCCTAATCTGTGACAGGAGGCTGAGCAGTGCGGGAGGAGAGGCGCTGGCCGCCCACATCGCTCTCCTACCCTGCACCGCCCAGCCTCCTGTGACAGTTTCTCTCCTCCCCGCTGGGACACAGAGCAGCGCCCAGCGAGGAGGAGAGAAAGCAGGGATGCATCGCTATTTCGGCTGAAAGATGGCACTTTCGGCATTTTGCCAAAAGTGCAATTTTCGGCCGATATGTTTCGGCGGCCGAACTTTCGTTGCATCCCTATTATCAACATTTGATATGAGTTTCATAATGACTTTAAGGCTCTAAATAAATAAAGTGTTTGCCCAGTGTATAGCTGGCTCCTTGGCTCCATCTAGTGGCAGTAATGTCCTACAAATGGATATAGACTGGAGAATATTTTATAAATCAGCCCCTTGGTATCATTTATGTTATAACCTGGAATGCTTTGTTTCCACTAGGTCCCCAAACAGAAGTATAAAATTTCTACTAGAACAAACAAGGTCTATGACATCACAGAAAGAAAGGTAATGCCCACAAGGTGGATTGATGGAAGAAAGCACAGTTTGTGTTCATCTGTTTAGCAGTAATGCTGAGCACCACACAATTCAGATAAATACTCAGTCCAAATGAATGTTTTCAGTAAATGATTTTTAGTCGTTTGGAATGTCTTCTGAAAATGTCTGTTGTTAAATGAAGGCTTTGGAATGGTTTGTGAGTAAAAACAATATGTTCTCAGTGTTTCTGCAGTAATTTTTGCTATCGAGCATCGAAATACTATGAAGCTCAGGTTCCTCAAAGCCCAGTGTGGTCTCGAGAAGAAGAGAGGTAAGTGTGTGGTGTGTTGCATGGGATTTGTCCAGATATACTGTAAGAAATGTATCGGTAGTAGTGGCTTATCTTTTCATAGGCGACAGAAGGTAGCAGCATATGCAATGTCCAAAAGAATTATTCTTTATTTAAAGTTTTTACATATTAATACAAAACAGACTTCCATCTGGACAGCATATCTAACATAGACATTTCCGCTTGATAAATACATTTAAATAAATATAATTACATTATTACTTAACTTATTTTTATTATTGTACTAAACAATCAAATACTTCCTTGAAAATATTCCTTAAATCCCATCTAGTTTAGCTTAACTGTCCCCACATACACATACATATATACATACACATACATATATATACATAACATACATATATATACATATATACACTGAGTGTCCAGATTATTATGACCACCCCATCGGTACTTCGTTGGGCCACCTTTTGCCTCCAATACTGCGGCGATTCTTCTTGGCATTGACTCCACGAGATGTTGAAAGGTGATGCGAGGAATCTGACACCATGCCTGATGAATAGCACTGTCCAGTTCTGTGAGATTTGATGGTTGTGGAACCAGCTGCCTGATGGCTCTTTCAACTTCGTCCCACAAATGCTCAATTGGATGGAGATCTGAAATGACAAGTTATAAAAGGATGCCAGGAATTAACACAAATAGCCCTTGCAGTGGGGCTACCCTCACACTGCTTGTTTTGGTCTAGCGGCTGGAACATAGAAAATATGCTCACCTGATCCTCCGTCCTGCAGCGGTCGACTCGACTTTCTCTCTCTCCGCTCCACCTGTGGTATGTCCCTCCGCGTCCTCATAGCTTATGCAGGTGAATAAATCTGCAGTATACATGATGATGTCATGGATCCTTAGATCGACAGAACCCAGGGCAGAAAAGGCTGCTGGGTCCAGTCTAGCAGCAAGGTGGGATTGAGAATCAAGTGAGTATATCTTTAATCCAGCCTCTAGACCAAAACAAGCAGTCCCCTTGCAGTTTCGGGGGTAGCCCCACTGCATGGGTTAACCATGTTAATTCCTGGTGTTCTCCTTTAAAAATACCGCATACATGCATAGCATCAAGACCTAGGATTATGTATGTGTATAAATACTAAAAAAAGAGCGCCAGGTAATCGTCTCAAGAGTCCAAAAACAAACCTTTATTGGCTTCACAAATAGCAGCAAGAAGATATGCACAGCCAACGTGTTTCGGGGGTCAGGAATCCCCCTTCATCAGTGCTACAAAGAAATACATTAAATGTAGCCCTGATGTAGGGGAATTCCTGGTTGTGCATATATGCTTGTCGCCATCTGTAAAGCCAATAACGTCTTTTTTGGACTCTTGAGACGATTACCTGGTGCTCTTTTTAGTTTCTGTTCATGTATTTTTTTCCATTCTGGGCAATTCCTCGCTTTGGAGGGCCGCACATTTTGTGAGGAGCTGCCGGGACAAAGTCATCGGGCCCAAATATTGCTCCTATTTAACTAGAGAAAATTTGTAGTCCAGTGGCTCATCCCCGCTCACCCTATATATGACCTCTTGGCTTGATCTCTGCTGGCTTCAGAGGTCAGAGACTTTCAACACCTCTCTCTTAGTATGTATTTATGCTCCTAAAGTTCCATGGGGGGCAAAGCACATCACTGCGCAGAAGTGTGGCTCCTCCCAGTTCTGTCCTGTGTTTGCACTTCTCATTTCATAGCCAGCTGCATTTAGTAAAACAAGTGGCAATTGGCTGATACAAGAGCAGGACAGAGCAAGAATAATTAGAGTGGGGATACAATTGCCCTATTACACTTTCAGCTCCTGGCAAAGAATGAAAGTAGTTCCCACAGAGAACTTCCAGTGAGGGAATGATTACCTCATTTTTCTTCATTACCTCCCACTAATGCGGAGAAAGTAAATTAAATAAATTGGCATCAACATTTTTTCCTATTTTTTAGGACTATTTGGGGCAGGGGGAGCGGTTTAGCTTTACAGCATAGGGATTTAATAACTGCTAGGTTCCCTCAGAGAGATGAGAAGGCTCTTTAATAATTCAACCAATTAGAATAAACCCAAAACTGAAATATTGAATTTGGGTTGACTTCATTTTTTGAGGTTAACATGTTTGGCCATGTAACATTGTGCAGCATCATGGAATTTGCTAGTTGGATGATTGTGGAACAGATGAGTTGTGAAGTGTACATGAAATATGGTGCAGATATCAGAGAATGTACTCACTAGCTGCAACCCACTGTAATATGTAAGCATATTGCCTACCTCTGACAATGCTGTCAGTCAATTCCAGTCATGTGTGGCACATTATTTACTTTATTTGCATCTCTTGGATCAGAGTTATATAATATCCATGAAGTAAGACTAGGGTTTTGTGCAAGTAATTTATTTGCTTACATACAAGAATTAAAATCCATGAAGCAAAAGGAGGACAAGGATCTCTTTTCAGAATGCAAAAATCTCCAAATTTGTAGGGTAGTTTTAACCCGCCAGACTGTAATTACTCAATGCAGCCACATGGTGGTGCTATAGGGTCATTTATATATAATGCTGATGCCAGACTCTTAGGGCAAATCCACACCATTTTCCGGACCAGATCTGGAATGCAGTGCATTGCTTTTTGATGCTTTTCCCCATGATTCTGCCGTGTTCCCGGAGCTGGGGTTTTTTTTTCCCCGCATAAAATGGGCTTTCAGGTGCATTCCATTGCGTTTGTATGCATTTTTGATGCGTTACAGACCAGACAAAATGAGACGTGCAGTATTTTTTTGGTCTGGTTTGGAACAGACTGCGCTGGTGTGAACAGAGGCCAGAAATAGCATAGGGAAATATTAAAATGCATTTTGGGTCCGGAAACAATCTTGTCTGGTGTGGAGATGGTCTGGATGTGGTGTGATAAGGCCCTAAAGTATGCAAAAACTCCAGTTTAAAATGGTAAATAACCTAAATGTAAAGCACTGTATGTGGCCCCCTAAATGCATGCCAAGATAGGGTTCTGGTATGGATTTTAAGGGGAACCCCACACAAAACCACTAAAAAATTAGGTTCCATCTTCCAACGTTCTGCCTCTTTTGCATCTGGAGCCCCTCCTTTCACATCAAAAGTCCCCTCATTCACTTCAGAGTCCTACCTCTACATCAGAGCTCCCCATTCATAAAATAGTCCCCTCCTTTCGCATCAGAGTTCTCTTCACATCATGATCCCCCTTTAAAACAGAAGCCTGGCTGCACCATGGAAAGGCATGACTCTGTGCAGAAGTTTCAAGGCAGCACTAAGGAATCCAAAAGGCACCCCAGGGTGCCAGGGCTTCGGCTTAGAACTATGAGGTGAGTGGAAATCACTCATGTCATAGTTCTCCTTTAACAAAGGCTGTGCTAGACTATTCTTCTCCTAATCTCAGATATACATCCATGTAGGGTTTTTTTTTTGTTTGTTTAAAATGTATTTCCACTTTCCAATCAAATTGGGATAGCCCCTATTTTATATTTGTTATATGTTCCCATATACACTTCATAACTAAAAATATTTAAAACATTTCTGCTTACATTTTAAGTGATTTTATACTTGCTTAAAAATCCCGTCTTGCTCCCCCGTATGTAATGTTAGGTTGGGGGCTGTGGGAAGTTATGTTTACTCTATGTAATCTTGTCTGTACTGTGCTGGCAGATTTCATCATCAGTTGTAAGCTAGATTTGAACTCTGTCTGTCTCAGCAGAGTTCATGTTCATCAGGGACCAGTCATTAGAATGCTCAAGGAAGTGAACATATAACCTCCACATATTTAGTAAAATGTTGTCTGCTTTCTTTTCTAGTCCACCGGTCATTCTAGTGCTCAAGGAAGTGAACATATAACCTCCACATATTTACTGATATATTGTTTGCTTTTTTTTCCAGTCCACCAGTCATTAAACTACTCGAGGAAGGAAAGAGGTATGTTCTAATACATGATTTGCATGTATCTTGCTTCACTAATCATTTTATTAACAATGTTTAGACATTTTTTTTCATTGTAGACTGAATATAACTGTCAGATGTTAACAAAAATGGTGCACAATTAGAGGGTATTTCCCTTGTATATGCTAGTACAAGAAAGAAGTTAAATCATTCTTTAAAGACCAAATTACACTTTTAAAAACATCAGTATTTTGTTCTGAAAATTTATTGTCATTAAAGAAATATGTACTGAGAGACTATAGAGGCTACCATTGGCGACTTCTTCTCTTGATAATGGCAGACAGCCCGGCAACTAGCTTTCTTAGGAGGTTATCAGTATACAGTTTATCTCCCAGCACCATTACGAGGGGAGGCCAATAAGTTCTTACCCTCACCATGATCTAGATGTTCTAGCGATGGATATGTTGCAGGTTTATAGGTGGATATCTTAGTAATATGCATGCCAATTTTTGTTTTTGGAGGTCGTGGGTGAATTATAGTTAGAGCCAAGAGAAATGGAGTAGGTGTCATGCCGGACAAACCTGAATACCGGGCCGTGATTAGGTTCCTCCATCTTCGAGGGAAATCTGCCCAAATAATCCATGAAGAGATGTCAGCTGTGTATGAAGAGGACAGACGACCTTCCCTTGGGTCATCCTGTATATTTGTGCAACCACACTTGAATTCTCTCTTCCATCGTTTGACAGCCTCATATGATGGACAATCCTCTCCATACACAGATTATTTGGGCAGATTTCCCTTGAAGATGGAGGAACCTAATCACAGCTCGGTATTCAATTTTGTCCGGCATGACACCTACTCCATTTCTCTTGGCTCTAACTATAATTCACCACGACCTACAAAAATTGGCATGCATATTACTAAGATATCCACCTATTCACCTGCATTCCCTAGCACATCTAGATCATGGTTAGGGTAAGAACTTATTGGCCTCCCCTCGTAGAGAAATATGGAGTTGTCTCCTGACATTTTGAAGAGCTATTATAGGCAGCTAATTGAATCAGTCAGTGAACCTCTGATGCTAGCCAGGAGACACTACAGCTATGTAAAGTTAGAAAGCCAACTTAATTTATTTTAATCTGAATGTATGAAATCCATTGTAGCCAGAATCCAGAATGCTTCTCATATGTGGGGTAGTTGGGGCTTCTTTCTAAATCTGTACTTTGTAATTCTCTCTCTGCTTGATGTAACACTATTCATTTGCACTGGGCAGCATGGTGAAACTGGTGCTTTTTGTACTGCACAGTCATACTCATTGACCACGCACAACTGGTATAACAGGACAGTGGGTAAAACTGTGAAAAAAATAGTTTGGCCAAGGTCAGTCTAATTGGGTATGGGAAGATATTGGACCTGTCTGTCAATAATTTGCTTATAGCGCAGCAAGAACACCATTCTGAACTCCGTTGCGTTGTTTTAATATCATCAAAATTAAAGTGCACCTGTGCCCAGAATAAAGTATTTACACGTTCTTAAGAAGTAGTTAAATCATTTTAAAACATCCCCTGAACTCTCTAGCTACTTGCACTGTGAAGTAATTAATTCTCAAAGATCACAACAAAGAGGCTAAAGTTGATTTCAGTCAGTTTAGAAACACCGACTGTGTGTGTTTTACATTGAAACGCTGTAGGACTGCCATCAGTCTGGTGGAAAGAGTTCAGATTTCAGTGCTTCTGTTGCGAACTTTGAAGATACATTTCTCTATAATGTCTACAACTACAGGGGTGAGTGCAGGCTTGTTTTGAAGAGCTTTTACCGCCTGTTTGGAAAATGTGAACACTTTAGTGTGCATAGTCTAGGAAACAGTTTCACTCTAAAGGGTATCAACATATATTGTACCTCAATTGGGTCAACAGCTACAGTTTTGTGAATACTTTACTGATCTGTGGCTGTGAAGCATGAGTTGCGTTCTTGTACATCTTTGCTGTCCACAATTTGCATACGCTAAGAGGAAGTTGAGTAATGTGACCATCCAGAAGTAACCCGTACTGGCGAAAGCCCTGGGTGGACCTAGAAAACACTGGAAAGTTTAGATCTCTCATCTGGTTTGCAAATGTCTTGAACTCCCCTACGGAGAGCTAGTCTCAGGCAGCCGTTAGCCCAGTGTGACCTGCTCACTTGACTTTCCCTATGACCCTGTTCATTCAAATTTGCTTAAAAATGAAAATAATGACCACAAATGGTCCACAAAACGATCTGTTTGAGAAATCATTTGTTTATCTTCAAAGACAAACTTTGGTCGTTATATACCGTCAGGCCATTTAGGGCCACCCCTGCTAGTAATATAGGAACTTAAGATATTCTCATTGGTCTCGGAGATTCTCCAAGATAGTCAAAAGCTTCATGAGAGGACACCAGACCACACTTGCAGCTCTGAGAAAATGTGTCATGGTTTCTACCACAATGATAGGAACTGAGCTTTACATTGCCTGACTATGGAGCCATACCACAGTCCACGTGCTATAAAGGAGGAATTGAAAGCACTCCTGAAGTACTTATAGTTAGTGGTATGTGAGCAGCTTCTTTCTCACTGCTGAAATATTGACTATATAGGTTTAGAGAGGTACACATGCTATAATATAATACTAGTTATACTTCCTAGGACAGGGGTAGGCAACCTTGGCACTTCTGCACCCACAAATCTCATCATGCCTCTGGGAGTCATACCTGTGTCTGACAGTCTTGCAATGCCTCATGGGACTTGTAGTTTCACAACTGTTGCTGTGCCAAGGTTGCCTACCCCTGCACTAGAAGATTGTTATATTCCCTTCATAGAAATTACATCAAACCTTATGTAGATAATTGTGTTCAAATGAGAAAACTTTCCTGCTGGAAAATATTAAATAATGGTTTAGGGTCTTTAACACATAATGTACCAAAGTTTTTGGGTTTTTTTTAAACTTTGTTTTGGATAGAGAAGGGAGTGATTAAAGGGTAAGTTCACTTTCTCACAAAATGTGAGAAAATGGACTAACACCACTACACCACCTCTCCCCGCCCCCCACCGTGCATGCATTTGTGTTTCTCCAGCCGGCCGATGTATGGTCTGTGCACCACACTTCAGCCCTGCAGTAACCATTTAGTATAATGCTTGCAAATGGTGAGCGATTATTTGTCAGCATGGTCACATGACCGCACTAATGAATGAGAAGCGCTTCTGAGCTTGGTACCAGTAGGAAGCACTTCTCATTGGTCAGCATAGTCATGTAACCATGTTGACCAATGATTGCTCACCATTTGTGAGCATTATGCTGAATGCTCACTGTGGGGCCGAAGTACGGTGTTCGGACCGTACATTGGCTGGCGTGTGGTGAAGTGGTGTTGGTAAGTTTTGTGAGAAAATGAACTTACCCTCTGCCATTTTTTTTTTTCTGCCACCTCTGGCGCATTAGAGAGATTTCCCTTGCTGTCTTGTAAACACAAGAGGAAATGAAGAGGTGCAGCGAAATAGAAATGTCAAAACCAAAACAAAACCCAAATTTAAAAAAACTGGCAGGCCAAAACCGAAACCAAAAATGTTTTTTATTTTATAATCATCTTTTTTATAAACTTTTTAATTTTTATTTATTCATTTTTTATTAAATATTTTTATTTTTTACTTTACTTTTAGAGGCTTAGGGGTCTAAACAGACTCCTGATATTTCCCTTTTAAAATAGAAAAAGAGATTGAGGACACAATGTCCTCTATCTCTTTTCCTGTATCCCCTGTTATCAATGAACAGGAATCCTCTATGAGTGTTCCTGTTCATTCATAACATGAGAGCATAGTGTGTTTACTATAACTTCAAATATGAATGAACGGGAGGTGATGTAGATCACTTCCCATTCATTCATAATTGAGGATATAGTCAACATGCTATTTCCTCAATTATCTACAAACACTCCACGATCGCTGAGTGTTTATACCTCACTCTCCTCTCTGACACGTTGTCACTGGAGGCTGAGCGAGCAGTGCAGGGAGGAGATCTCAGCCTCCTGTGACAGTGCGGCGTGTCTCCGCCCCACACCGCTCTGCCGGACTGTGACAGGAGGCTGAGCGGTGTGGGAGGAGAGACGCCGGCCGCACAGAGCGCTCTCCTCCCGCAGCGCTCGGCCGGCTGTCACTTTCTCTCCTTCCCGCTGGGACACAGAGCAGCACCCAGCGGGGAGGAAAGAAAGCAGGGATGCGCCGGTGTATCAGCAAGAAAGTGGCACTTTCTGCGTTTAGCCAAAAGTGCCATTTTCGGCCGATATGTCGTTGCATTCCTAGTGGAAATCTCTCCAAAGTGAGGGAAATCCATAGACAGTTGACACTATAATATTTAGGGTTTTCTCTCACTTTCGGTTCTGCGGAATAAGGAGAGGGCAATGCGACTTAAGGCTTAAACATGTCAGTTCATCGAAAAGTAATATCTTATTTATAAATAGACTCGTAGACAGTTGCCCCCTGGCTTCTAGAGTAGAGATCCCCTCATCATAGGTTTTCATCCTTTATCTGTCTACCTTGAATTCTCACTCCTTCACTAAAGCAAAGAGATCCACTCCACCTCTTAGAGTCTCCACAATCAAAAAACTAAGGGGGCTTTTCACAAAGGAGCCGAAGGATCCAACAGTAGCTTCGTCTGTGAAGGTTCTGATTCATCTTTGTAATGTTTTTTTTACATCTTTACCTGAATGTCATTGTTTTCTTTTGTATCAATAAACGCAGAATTTAAAAAAAAAATGAGAACAAAAAAATGGCTGCTCACAATGTTAACGCAATGCAAATGGGAACATATAACAAACATAAAATAGGTGTTATCCCAATTTGGCTTCAAAAGTGAAAATATACTTTAAGACTGTAGGAGTGCTATCAATGGACTAGGATTTAGAAAAGAGGGCCCAGAGGAAAGTTTGATTCTGAGCAAGCACTTGGCTTATTTTGGGTGAAATGTAAAACATTCTTTTTTATTACTTAGTAGATATTAAAAACATATCAGATGTTTGAAACCAACTACTGGTGCATGTACATGGAAATGAAATGTGTGTTGTATATACCAGTGATATACTCACATCTCCCATTAGTCAAAAGCATTGATAAGTGAAATAGGGGAAGAGACTAGATCGAGCTTTAGACGGTGTTTATCTTTAGAATTCTATTTGATCTAAATCTACAAATTATTTCTTCTTAATGTGTCACCAAATAAAAAGAAACGTCTTTTCTCTTAATCCATCAACCTTTAGTGATTAAAGCTCAGAGCACTTCCTGTTTCTTTTTGCCAGGTCCGTTTGTTTGATCGGTATGATTTACCGTGCAGCTGCAGCGAACAAAACCTGTTGAAATCAGACACAAATACATGCTGTGTACACAACCTGCTCCCAATATCGCCAGCAAAAAATCTAAAGTCATATTCATTAAATCTGCTGACAGTTTAATGCCAGATTTGTTTGTGCTGTCTGTGGGGGCCCGGCCATGTCATTCAATGCATTTTATGTACTTTTAGTGGATACAGGGCAAGAAAAGGGGGGTAAATCTGTAACGTGTACTGGTATATTTATTGTGGCTGTGATTCCTGACACATCATTGCTGATGAATAGACAGTGGAGTCTCTGCGAGAGGGTCTTTGTAACATGATGTAGATTTCAATTCTTTACTGGATAACGGCTGCCAGACATTGATTACAAAAATGAGAGAGTATTTTCTTACTTGGAGGATAGATTTCTAACTTCATCTGCTTTTTATAGATCTCTCACTTGTCACCAAGCTACACATATTTCACTTGTTATCTGACAGTCAGTGAGGATATTCGCAGCTAGCTGACTTGTCAGTATTCATTTTTTGTTAAAATATTCCCCTTATAAGAAAAAAAAAAGATTATTATATCATCTATGGAGGAATATGGCTTTTGCCTATGTGTCTGCAACCCCTCATTGAGCATGGGTCTATGTTAAATGAATATTTGCAGTAATTCAGAATACAGCATTCCTTCCCATTGTCATGAAGTAGAGGCCTCCATGTCTCGCAACCTTCCAATGTCTAAGAGTAGATCCTTAAAGTGTAATTCCACTTTGCCACCAAATGTGAGAAACTGAAATTACCCCCACAGGGGGTGGGGGGTGCAGGAGGTACAGATTTGTGGGGGTAATTTCAGTTTCTCACATTTGGTGGGAACCTCGAATTACCCTTTAAAGTGTATTTCCACTTTCGCAGGCAAAATTGAGAACACCCCTCCATATATGTGTTATGTGTTCATATTCACACAGCATATCTAAAAATATATATTTGTCAAATATTTCTTACCTTTTAGATATCTCTGTTTAGCAGGCCCTTGCAAGCTTTTCTCTCAATTTCAGTAACAGAAAACTCTGACTGTCCTAATAGAACATGTAAAACTGCCACATGTAAAACTAGATCATAGTATTGCCAAGCAGATTAAGCAATTAATAAATGACTATCATTATTGTCCTTTACTGATTCCAAATAGTGGAACATCTGTGTATTTGATACCTTTTATTTAAAGAACAACTCTGGGTAAAAATGTTTTTACCTATTGCAGTCGGGTACTGCAAGAGTTAAGTGCTCGTTTTTGCCTAGATTTAAAAGTAACAGTTTTATACTCAACCGATTCTCTGAGCCAGCCGGCTGTGACAGCGCTCTGTCCTGCCTGTCGCATCCTTCTCCTCGGCATCAATGGTATGTCCTCATGACCTATACACAGAGTATAGAACATGATGACTCAGGGATCTTAGACTTCTGCAGCGGAGCGGAAGTGAGGCTCCAGGGACCAGTCTAAGGCTGGGTTCACACCTGGGCGTTTTTCCGCGCTTTCATACTCGCGGAAAAAGGCTCAAACAGGGAAATGCCATTATTTTCAATGTGCATGGTTCCCATCTGGGCGGTTTTCCGTGAGTCGCGAATCGCGGTAAAAAAACGCATATATTCAATACGCCTAGGTGTGAGCCCAGCCTAAGAGTTGGCTGGCTCGGAGGATTATGTGAGTATAACTGTTTTATTTTTGAACCTAGACAAAAACTTGCACCTATCCCTTGCAGCGCAGGGGTAGCCCCACTACATGGGTTAAGATTTTTTTTTTTTTTTACCAGGAGTTCTTTAAATGTTTGTCTCTATAGCAAAGCGTTGCATTGCGATATAGAAATATTAATATCTACATTCTTTATATATTACAGTGGCCATACTGGAGAGGAAGTCAAACTAGCAGACAGACGAATCAGACCTTCAGAAATTGAGAAACCTAAGCATGTGACAAAAGATGGTGACTTTAAGACTTCTGAAAGTGATGCTGAGGACATTGAGCGAGAGCAGGCCTTTGTGTCCTCTGTTATCTCAGGTTCAGAACCAAGCCTTGACAGCTCTAAACCAGAACAGGAAAATGTTCACAATACACAGCAGGACGAATCTCCTGGGACAGGAGATATAAAGCAGAATGTGTCCGAAATTGCAGAAAGGATAAATGCTTGCACTATTAATGACCAGGAAAGGACAGTTGACCGTCAGAGAAAAGACTCCAACCAAGTTCCCAAAGAGACCGTAGTCAACAGGACAGAGAACATTCAGTCTACAGGGAGCTCCATTGTGGACACTGCTGATGTGACTCAGAGGGCGGTAAGCAAAAGTGGTGCCGAATATCTCCGCAGATTAATTTCAAAGTCCAGAAGCTCAACAACAGTCAAAGACATGATTCCACCGGTGGCAGTGAAAGGGAGCATGCTTAACATTCTCACACAAACACTGAACGAGTGGAAATCAGAGGAGACTTTGAAATATTTATTTGGAAATAGCTATGTGATAGAACCTAAGGAAGAGGTTCCTATTGCCAGCAACCAGACCGAGGACTTGGATGAAGATGACATTAGCTTTGAAGCTATTGAGAATACAAACAGTTCACATTTCAATGAATGTCTGCCTTTCCAAAATGACAACAATGTATCCAAACCTCTACCAGATTTTGCCAAACTCAAACAAGATACCAAAATGATGGAACTTCGAGTCCAGGATTTTTTTGGAGGGAACTATGTTTTGCCAGAAAATCTAGAAAGTGGGCAGTTAGAGGAAAGCAACAGTGCTACAAAAAAGGTTAGTGCTCAGTCTTAAACAAGACCGAGCTCAAATCATTATTGCATTTTATTATTGTGTGAGTGTTGGGTTGTCTGTTACTTTAGAGAGTAGATAGATAGATAGAGAACACACAGCACTTGCATAATAATAAAAAAGGAATATATAATTAGCGTACTTGTTAAAACTTTTAGTTTCCTTCTCCATTGAGGCTAGGTTCACACCTAGTTAACTGAGCGGATGAGCTGTTGTCGCGTGTTTTCGTTTGCATGACTGTGCTGTGAAAACCGTGCGGTTTTCAATGCACAGAGATGTCTATGGTATCCAAAAGTGTGAACAGTCTCCATTGACTTCAATGCGAATCTGTGTTTTGCGCGATATTGCGTGATTCAATCCGCATGATAAATCCCCTAGGTGTGAACCTTGCCTGACTATGCTTAGCTTTCCTGATATACAGATGTACTGACTTATAGAGCTGTACCATGGAGATCCATCACCATAAACTTCCTCTGTTCGTCTCTTACTATTACTGCTTCTTCTGCTATGCTTGTCAGTATGTTGAACAATTCCCCATTGAAGTCTATGAGGCAGAGACGTGCGTCACAAGCATTGTGAGTAGACAGAAGTAAAATAATTCTGGAGTGTTAATGCACTCCTCACCATGTGGGGAAAGTTATCCTTGAATGGATACTATATACAGTGTTGGGATAATGTAAGGAAATGAAAACTATGAACTTTAGAAATTGGTAATCCAAATAATTCTGTAGTTCTATAGCACGAGTTATTCTGCAAAGGATGAGATTGGTAAAGGCAATGTTCACCTTGTGGAGGTGTTGACTTCACACACCCTGTACAAATGAATCCTCTTCGTTTGCACTATGTTAGGTTTTATTGAAGTAAGCATGTTGGCGTGGTTTTGAGTTGTATGCTACTTGCAGTCGTGTTCTGTGATGCTGAAAGCTTGGTAGAACAAGTGTGGTAAGAGGTGTCCTAACAATGGCCCTTCACCTCTCTCTCTTTAGTGTCCTCTCTGCCGCATTATCTCAGGATAACAGCCTTACTTCCTGGTGTTACTGTGATAACCTGACAGAAGAGCATCACAGGGATCAAGTATAAGACTTATAGTTGGCAATTCCAAAGTATGAGTCTAGCCACATGCTAGTCATACATGACTCGAAATTTGGCCAACTCAGCGAAAATCAGCCAACATTTGAACTGTGCTTGTCACTGATGGCACCACCCTGCTCAACAGACTTTGATTAAAAAATCAAAGGAGCTGGGTGGAAAATTGTCGGCCGAACAGTGGCTGCATAATTAGACAGCTACTAGTGCCACCTGTCTAAATACAATAGCCGGCAGGTGAAGATTCCTTCACCCATGCCATTTAGATGGTGGAATCCAGTGATTTCTAAAATGGGTCTGTGGGGGTGATGGAGAGAAATCTAGCTGTGTGTGGATAGCTTCATATTTTGTGATTTTGGAAGTGTCTTGAAGCCATCTCCTAGTATTGCCATGAAATGTGTCCCTCCTCCAGTTCTATCTCCTCAGCATTTTATTGTAAAATGACAAGTTGGCTTTACAAAACTGTAACCCAAGAAGCCGCAGTTGGCATGAGTTCAGAAACTGCATGTATGCCATTGCTTAGTAAAAAAATATTGTTTTCACACAGTTTAAGGCATGCAAACAATGTTATTTGTAATCAGGTTTTCTGTCTTTTTTCCAGGCTGATGCACCATGGGCTCCACCTCTGCCTCTTGTAGATTCTTATTCTCAGCAGCAAATCCGCAGACGAATCGTACTGGAGAGGCTGAAAAAAGTGTAAGTTCTCTGCAGTATTAAAGGAGTTGTGAAGTCCCAGCATACACTATCCTGTTATAACATCAGCAATGTAATAGGAATACATACTAGAGTTGTTTCTGATAATACAATCATAGCTTACCTTAGAGAAACCCTTTTATGTAGTGAGTGCTGCCTTCTATCTGCCCATCACTTTCAACAACTTCCTGGATACCCCGTGTGCTTTGTGTCCATTTTTACAGACTACATAGCCCATCATGCATTGCTTCCAGCAAGCAATGATAAGATTACATTGTTCAGACCTTGAGTTGTAGTTCAGATGGCAGTCTCTGTGAGAGTTATGACACAAGGAAGTGCAAATTGTGTCAGTGCATTGAAGAAGTCCATTCTATGGGCATCTTCAATAAGTAAGTTTATAAACTGCTAAATCAATATGGTTACTGGGAGTGTGATATTACTTATGGAAATTCGATATAGAAATACAGATTTCTTTTTAGTCTTTGACTATATTTAAAACCCCCAGTGGTGAATAAATACCACCAAAAGAAAGCTCTATCTGTCCCCAAAAAAGGGTATAAAATTCATTTCAGTACAGCGCTGCATGACGGAATAAATGTCAGTTAAAGTACCGCAGCGCTGAATACTGAAAAATGGCCTGGATGGGAAGGGGGTTTAACACCGCGGATGTCAACTGGTTAAAGACTTGGTTCTCAACTGGTGGATCGTGACCCAAATGTGGGTCGCGACCCCATGTTCAGTGGGTCGCCGTGTGCCTTCCACTTTTCTAGGTGAGAGGCTCTTCAGCCTCCCCCTAGCACAGCACTGTCAGTTCTTGAGCCAAACAGCCATTCAAAATATGCTGCCCGGTGCCGAGTGTCAGCTTGAAGTGGGATGGGCTGGGGCTATGGCCGTGAGGGAGCTACATCTATACATATAGCTCCCTCACGTGTCCTATAAAGGTGCCTGGACCGAAGTGACGTCACGTTCTGGCTCCCGGCACCTCTACAGGGCACGCAAAGGGAGCTGTACAAGTAATGCACATGTGGATGGAGCTCTGTCACAGCAAAGCAGCCGACACTGGACCCCAGGCTGAGGATCTACTCCATTTCTCGTAAGGTATGCAGACTGGGTGAATCTTTTGAATGGCACCCCAAACGTACCTCCCAACCACAGTTCGATCTCCCGCACCGGAACGCTTGGTACCACAATGCTGTGCGTTTCATTGCAGTGCGACTTGGGTTGGGACTTAATGACCAAGGACAAATGTGGGTCCTGAGGTTACACAGGTTCAGAACTACTGCATTAAAGGAAGCTATCATGCTGTTCTGTTCTTTCTCAGGCACTGTCCTGGAATATCTATGTGAATTGAGATCCTGGCCTAACTTTTTACTTACAGTTGTGTATGCCTGTTCCAGGCAAGTGGCTATTGATGCCAGCGACAGCCAGTGAACTAGTATTCAGATCAACAATGGCAGTCCCTTTATTCCTCCCATTGTCGAATTTCTTTAAATACACTTGTAAAGGGAATAATCACCATTTATCAATTAGTTATTCAGGCTCGAGCTGACTCTCTAGGTTTTTTGCATCAACTGAGCAATTTTTCCAATTTTGTCATCGCTGAGCACTGCACACATATCTGTTCTTGGCTCATTAAAAATTGTTAGAGAGTAATTGGGATGTAATTACTGTGCTAAGGGAAATATGTCATCTGCTACTGCTGACCACTTTTCTGAAAATCCAATTGTCAGTCGCTCACTCAATATGCAGATCAGATGTTCTAACCTACTTGATTGGATGCTCATTTCGGGTCAGGAAGTACTGAAGCCAAAGATAGTCGGGCAACTACAACCCCAATTCTAAAAAAGTTAAAAAGTTGGGACGCTGTGTAAAATCTACATAAAAACAGAATGCAATGATCTGCAAATCTCATAAACCCATATTTTATTCACAATAAAAAGTAGAAAACAAATCAAATGTTTAAAAGGAGAAAATGTACCATTTTGAAAACAAAATGAGGTAATTTTGAAAGTGATGGCAGCAACACATCTCAAAAAAAGTTGGGACAGGGTGACAAAAAGCTGGTAAAGTAAGTGGTACTAACAAGGAAGAGCTGAAAGAACATTTTGCAAATAATTAGATGAATTGGCAACATGTCAGTAACAAAAATGGGTATAAAAAGAGCATCATAGAGAGGCAAAGTATTTCTTTACATTTTTGCCCAAGCACAAATCGGTCTTCCTGTTTCTAAACAGCTGCCTCCAACTCCCTCAGCTCCACTTCCCTGAACTTCCTGTCCAGTACAAGATCACAATAAACTGAGCAGTCTGCAGCAGCTATCCATATACAAGCTTTTAGGAGGGAGAACGGAGGAAGGAGGAGTGGAGAGCAAGGGAGTAGGTTTCCTTGCTGTTCCTGTGTGGAGACACACAGCTTACTAGCACACAGAAGGTTGGCTACTGCAAGGGAATGTCAGTGCAGTACTCAGGGGACCAGCTAATTCTGCAGGAAGCTAAAGCTTTTAAACATTAGGAAGCAGCATCCACTGTAAGGGATTTCATCAGCATTTGAAATAGATTAAAAAACTTTAATATCACTTTTTTAATATCGGCTTTGGTGTTGCAATTCACTTCCTATCAGTATTGCTATCTCCAGGCGTGAAGTAAGTCATCTAATTTTTCAGCCTTCGAACGTGCAAAGTGTCTCTCCCCAGCCCTGCTTCTGCAGGAAACGGACTATATTTTTAAAAAGTGTGAAAATCACAATACAGAGATTATACAAAAATATCTTAAAAAGCAGAAGAGAGAAGTGAACACAAAATGGTTTATAGGAAATTCAGCTATTTGTGTAAATGTATTGATTTACTTTGTTTTACATTTGAAAACGTCCATGAATACCTTTTAATACGAAGAGTTTTCAAGTAATTATAACAATATGAATACCTAAATGCAGGAGAAAAGGAGAGTGGTGCATCACAATGTGAAACGCATAGTAAATGAAAGGGAATGGGAATATATTTGCTGGACTAGATTGTAATCATTAGATAACTGTGTATCTATGGAGAAAGGGGTCTGGTTGTCTCTAGTCATCCTTGCTGCGTTGCGGATGCCCTGTAGAGCAGTGGTTCTCAGCCTGTGTAACCTCAGGACCCACATTTGTCCTTGGTCATTAGGGCACCACCAAAGTTGCACTGCAATCGAACTGTGGATGGGAGGTGCATTTGGGGTGCCATTCAAATGAATGGCAACATAACACACCTCCCACACCAGAACGCGTGGTAGGTGCAATTGTATGGTACAGTGCTTTAATTGCACGGGACTGCCCAGTCTCCCTATCTTACGAGAACTGGAGTGGATCCTCAGCCTGGGGTCCAGTGTGGGCTACTGTGCTGTGATGGAGCTCCATCCATATGTGCATTGGTTGTGCAGGTCCCTTGTGTGCCCTGTAGAGCAGTCAGGAGCCAGAATGTGACGTCACTCCAGTCCAGGCACCTCTACAAGACATACGAGGGAGCTGTACATATGGAGGGAGCTCCCTTACGGCCATAGCCGATTCACCTCAAGCTTAAACTGGGTTCCAGGCAGCATATTTTGGTGTGAAAACTGACAGTGCTGTGCTAGGGTGAGGCTGAGGAGCCTCTCACCTAAAAGAATGAATGACAAGCAATCACATCCTCTGTATTGAGAGTAAATAAACTACATTGGATTCTACTCTGAGTCAGACTTATCGAGTTGGACACTATCTGTGAATATCACCAAGTCAGTAGGTTGTCATACTGCCCGTAGCGACAAGTCTCAGGAAGGTATGTGCAAATACATAAAGCGGTGGTTGTAACAGTATACCTACTCCTAATAACCATATCGATTTAGAAGTTTGTAAACTTATGGAAGATGCTGATAGGATGTACTTCCTTAATGCACTGACACCATTTCACTCAGCCCTGTGAACATGCACTTCCTTGTATCACAACCCTTAATGAGCCTGCTGTCTGAACTACAACTCAACGTCTGAACAATGCAACATCATCATTGCTTTTTGGAAGCAATGCATGATGGGCTATGTAGTCTTGAGAAATCAAGATTGCGTCACATGAAGCAGCAGGGAAAGAGATGCAAAGCACACCGGGAATTCAGGAAGTTGATGATAGTGATGGGCGGATGGGTAGCACTCACTACATAAAAGGGATTTTTTTTTTTTTCACGTAAGCTTTGGTTGTATTATGAAAAACATCTCTAGTATGTATATGATGTTACAAAAGGTTAGTATATGCTGTGACTTTAGAACTCCTTTAGGGCCGGTTCACACTACAAAGAGTGCATTCCAGAGCGTTCGGCCTCTGGAACGCACTGAAATGCAACCCGGCCGGCTCCCTCAGTTCAAGGGCGGGAGGAGGCGTGGTGCATTAAAGCCAATGGCACCACAGCCACGCCCGCCGTGCGATCGCCGGCACCCGAACGCGTGCCACATTAGTACCTGCATTCCCGTCCAGTGCGATCTGCAAAAATGTTGCATGCACTAGTTTTGCAGATCGCACTGGACTGGAACACAGGCACTAATGTGCCACGTGTTCGGGTGTCGGCGATCGCACTGCGGGCAGGGGGCGTGGCTGCCATTGACTTCAATGCACCCCCATGCCCCCTCCCGCCCTTGAACGCAGGAAGCGGGCTGGGATGCTCTGGAACACTCTCTAGTGCGAACCGGCCCGTAATGTAAGGCTTTTTCTAATATAAATCCATAGGCTGCCACCTTTTTCTGAAAATGCTAATTATCTGGCTGTTATGTGGCTGACCCTCTGCCATCGATACTTTCTGAGCCACTGACGAGGAACAAGTGTGCTGATCAAGAATACCAGCGGACATTCTGAAGTCCCTATTTGTATACTTGTTCTTGGTCAGCAACATCAGTTGCTATGTTTTTATCATGACAGGTTTGATAAAGTTATGTAAGATTATGCCAAAGCTTTGAGACAGAGTTATTATATTCAGGTATTTTATGTTCTGTTTGTGACACCTGCCTTTTGCTGCAGTGGGTGGATCTTGGTCAGTGCACTTAAAGCCCATTTCCACCTTTTACAGAAGTATTTTTCAAAAACATATGCCAGCAATGTACACAGAGACACCGAGATGTATATGAAAAAGAAACGTACATTTTTTTGTTAGCTTTCCTCTTCAAATCCAATTCAAAAGTTTAACTCTACCCAAAAATAAAAACAAGTTTTGGTTTCAGTTCTACTTGAAGCATGACGTTAAAATAGTCAAGTAAATATGGCCACATTGGCCTTAGTGAGGACACTGCACCTCTTGCATACAGAACTTTTTTCAGCTGCATAGCACAGCAATGCAGTAAAGCGCGTGGCAGCACAGTCGAGTGCATTGCAGCTGGAAGTACGTTTGGGGTGCCATTCAAATGAGTAGTGTGTTGTGTGGTAGCGTGTGTTACTGGCACTGAGCCATGTGATTAATGCAACGCTATGGTGGGATGCACCCTAAAATTTTAAAATGAAACTCAAAATGTTTGATAGAATTTTATGTCATGTTGGTAGATGTTGGAGTTGTTACCTGCTGTAGGTTTCCTGTGCTTGTTAGCTGAGGGGTCCAATTTTTTGGATCAGTATATAAAAACTAGCATGGCAATTACAGAAGGAGAAATCAGCGGCATCAACGGCAACATGCATATTTTCTTAGTCAGATTTTCCTTGAAGTAGCCAGATCATTTTGGTGTAAAATTCGTCCCCTTTGGCCAGCCTGATCTGTGTAACAATGTGTTTTCTACAGTGCTGGTCAAACCCAGTCATATGTGTGTCTGTGGCAAACGTGCCTTCCTCCCCCTCTGCAGATCTGTACTTACCAAGATCGGATGAGAATGGTCCCTCTATTGTTTACATTCCAGTGTCTCAGTGCTCACTCTGCTGGCCACACCTCTGCATTGTAGCCCCATAGACTTCTATGAGGCTGTGTCCCTGTAGGGAGACAGACGTGGCAAGGAGAGGGAGACTTGTCACACTGGATAACAACAAACTGTAGCTCAGTGGCCCTTGGATCTCAGTAACTATAGATTTGCAGA